AATTGTTTTTGGGAAAACCTCTGTTTCTGCCATTTCATTCTCGTCTTCAATGGTGATCTACGTTAAAATTTTCAAACACTGACTAGAATTCTCTTCCTCGGTAAGGTTACGATTCAGTTTCTACATCAGCTTTGTTCTCATTAAAACAAAGCTAGGTTAAAATTTGGAAAGGCAAAGTCAACATCCCAGTCCTCAGGGTTTACATACATATTTCAAAGTTTATTCGGTGGAAACTAAGAGCACTGTAAGTATTCTTTCGTTAATGTGTCACTGGAGTCTTTTGAAAACTGGACATTATTGTGTTTGGCTAGAACTCGCTTCTATCTTTCTTTCGTAGGGGGCTTTGAGAAAGCACTGCAAATGGCAAAGAAGCTTGTCAAGATGATCGGATGCAGGTATGTTTGTTATCATATTTGTTAAAGAAATTACTCATTTTCTCCTAGGCAAAGCGACTCGAATCTCTGACAGTCGATTTTCGTCTTCTTAACTGATTACTACGATAAAATTTTCAAACACTGACTAGAATCCTCTTCGATAAGATTACGAGTTAGTTTCTTCATCGCCTTCGTTCACAAATAAACACAGTTTAAAATGTTGAAGGCCAAAGTCAACATCCAAGTCCTCAAGGTTGACAGGCGTCTTATAACTTTATTTAAACATTTTTTCCACGGTAAAGAGATTTTGACCTCCGAAATGAGCATTTTCTTTAAAAATTTTGGTCCGTATAGCAAGTTACGGACCGCAAATTGATCAATCGCATGGCGAAAACAAACATATAACAAATTTATTTATTTATTTACCTGTTTTCATGATAGTTTTACATGTTATGTGGTTCTGTCAAAGATCGAGGTGATCTATCAGTCACTAAATTACTCTAAATGAAGCACATTTTAACCAGAGACGGCTTATAAGTCTTATAACTGCTGTATGTAAATTTCACCGCTGACAACTAAAATAGTTTATTATTCATTCAAAATATTTCCCCAATTCTGATTGCCTAAAGGCACACGCATAGTTCACCATAACCAGTTACTGATGACCAAATTTGGAATTAAGAATTTTGAGTTTGACGAGGAAATGACGTCAAAAATGCAGTCCTCTACAGGTTAAAGGGGCTATGTCACCCCACACGCATGCGCGAGCCAATTAAAACAAACTTGAAAAAGTTGGCCCGACTTTTTCAAGTTGTGTCGGAGATCTTGAAAGGCTGTTTTTATCTGTCTAAATCTCAGCCATCGTTCGATAGTTAGCGAAGTTTTGTATTAAGAATCGTTCTATGGTGATTACAGAAAAATTTTTTGGCGTTATTTTGAAATTGTTTGCCTGTTGAATGTTTTTGCTTGAATTTACTGTGTCCTCTTATCAGCGGCCGTTGTAATGGCAGAGTTAATGACGGCTACTCCACAATGAGTGATGGAATCTTTGATGGAATCTTCCCTATAGTTCACAGAACCTTTCTATTGAGTTATTTTAGAGGCTGCTGGCTCTTGGATTTTTCTTTTGCTCAAAGTATGTGGACATAATTATAATGAAGCGGCTATCGAGTTGGCGGCGGCCGTTTTTTGTAAACGATTACAAGAGCATCAGGCCATGAGTTTCGTGACGAAACTAAACTCCTGGCGAAGGAAACATTATAAAATTCGGCTAGATTCTTTCTTGTGTTTTATCTGGATTCACGGCAAAGATAAACACGACCGTTTGCTCGTCCAGATTGTTCTCAACGGACTTAGAGAGGCAGCTTAGTACCAGTTAGATGCTGTAAATGCCATGTTTTTGAACTGTTTGTGTTCGAGCATATTTTTGGAAAATAGCAGAGTTTACTTTCCCTTTTTATCAACGGACTGCTTATAGTGGAGTAGTATACCAATGATGCTTGGTTCTGTTTTTCTCGACGTCGCAGTGATTCGGCAAGATCGAACAATTTTGCGCAATAATGTAAGTTTCCCCAAGATCAAAACAAAGACTTGACGTCTCTTGTTCTAGCAGCATCTAAATTATAAAATCACTAGCGACAGACAAGTCTAATTGTTAATGATTTAAAACAGTCTTGGTCTGTATCTTCGGTCTAGCGTCTTTTGTAGCTCGTTTGTAAAATACAACTTCGATTTATTTTGTTGAATAAGACAATATGTTGTTGTTGAATTTTTGTTTGCTCTCTATTTTATGAATGGCATGCGTTTTTACTTCAAAACTACAAGTAAAATTGTCGTCACAATTTTATTCTTGATCTAGCATAACCAGAGAAAAAACGTTCCGTAAATTCTATCTAAAAAAAACCCTTATCTAAACCCATTTCGCTTGTTAACCTCTCTAAATTCGGAGCCTTGGACGTAACAGAGAACATGGTCAAGCGTTAAAAACAATAGAATTTTGACAGTTGAAAGTAATTTGCATAACCTCAGAGCGCACATGGAGGAAGTCACGCGTTAAAAACAATAGAATTTTGACAGTTGAAAGTAATTTGCATAACCTCAGAGCGCATGCTCTCCAGCTGACATAGCCCCTTTAAGGTACCGTTAACCGTGAACGCCTGGGGACGAGATTGTTTTCGTTGTGAAAACTAAAATGGCGGACACTTCACTCATTTCAAGAGTAAGAATTACAGCTGGAACTAGACGAAATAATGGCTAAAAACATAGCAAAAACAGCAAGAAGACAACTCGGAGGGCGACATCTGCTATTTGGAGAATATTTGCGGAGCTGGACAAATCTAAACGTACACAAGCATGTTTTAGCTGTCTTTTTAAACTAGGAATTATTTGGAATGAATAATAAGGAAACTAATGAATTCGGCTTTCATAGGATATGAAGAATTAAGCAGATCTCGGAGAGTGTTGTCCACCTCGGCCTTCAGCCTCGTTGGATAACACCATCCTCGATCTGCTTAATTCTTCATATCCTACTCAGCCTCATTCCTTAATTGCTAATTATCATGCATGGTTGTCCGTCATCACATAGTACTGCGTGCGACAAAATGTTGATTTTTTTTATTCTCCTGAAAAAAAAAAATTTGATACCCAATCTCATGCTAGGTACTCGATGACATTCACCAGAATTAATTCCCCTTTCTTTAGGTGGCAGTTTAGTTGCCGCTATCCAAGAAAGCGGAGAGTCGTTTTTCTCTATTTTTACGTCAATTGAGGGAATTTAACACGCGAATGATTCTTACCAGTTTAAAGCCTGAAAAAAAATGTATATATAAAGTTTCTGATTCTTTCTTACTGCTTACGACGATTCCCGATTTAAGCAGTAAAATATTTATTTCAGCTCCGTAAGAGCCAGTTGACGATATCGCGTAACGTTCCGTTAACCACATTTAACGTTACAAACAACTAAAACCCATGCTTTAAAAGGCTGACTTGTCTTTTGATGCAATGAATTGGCCTTACAACTCTTCTTTTACAACAATAAATTAAACTTCACTATAATTATAGCGCGAAACAGCGACAGTTTTTATGTTTTATTTTAATTGAGGAGATGTGTTATGGTCTTTTTAATAAATGTTTACTGCATGAATTATTCCAATTTAAATTGTTTTCTCCGTACCTACAGTTTAAAATGTTTCCATAAGTTAAAGTTTAAGACATTTTTTATTCTTCCAATTTTTCCTACAGCAATGGAAATAACAAATGAACAGGTGTACCGGAAATTTATCATTTATCATTTTAGTTATAGGCACGTGATGCATGTTGGATTAGATGAATAAATGGGAAGTACTTTATGTGGAAAAGTATAAACACATCACGACAATTAATGTAAATAACTACATGTTTGTGTAGATTTTAGCATCCTGTTTGTTATAAATTGTGGTCAAATAGAAGAGCCCGCGACTATCAAATATCATAGTTTTATTATTTTTACATTATGAAAACACATTTAAAGGAAATAGTATTTGAGAAGGCAGAACGCGACGATGATGATGATGATGATACGAACATTCGTGAACTATATTATTTACAGCAGAGATTTTGATAACTGGATAATTAATTGGCTCACAAACACTGCTTCGATGAGTTTTTATTGTCCATTGAACGTGACTTGACTTTGATAAAATCTGACATTTAATGCTTGTTTCCCTTGACGTCATCAAAAATTCAAGCTAGGGAATTGTCGATCCTTCTGAGTTTTTTCACACTCTCATGAAGTATTAGAGCAGCTAAAAACTAATATTGAGACAAATTTTCCCTTCCAAATGGTTTTTCGTTTTCTGATAGTCAGTACGCTTGGATTTCTACTCTTTTGCATGACGTGGCATTTACATGGCGGTCGAGAGCGGCTGCCATGTTGTTTAAAAAAGTGTGGTATTTGAAGGGTATCTTGCCGGTACTATTTTTCCGCTGGTTTGCTGGCTATTTTAATAAATAGACCTTTTTACCGATAAGTCGGCCATATTAAATCTAGTAGATTTAAGGACATGGGATGCCCAGGGGGCACTCACTCAGGTATTTACGCGCACTTTTCGTGAGCCGAACCTAATACATTGAATTAAGTGCATGAAAAGTTCGGCGTCTGAATTAATTAGGAACGTCTGTTTCAATTTGGAACGGCTCAGCCGTTCTGTTCGCCTAGCCCGGCCGGGAATTTCGCTTTTAGAGCGACTTTAGAACGGCTTTGATTCAGACGCCGAACTTTTCATGTACCGAACCTAATGCATAAATTATTATAACGTTGTAAGCAGTTTGACCGAAATGATCATTTTTCTCCCTTTGAATTTAGTTCTTCTGGAATTAAGATCGGCGTCTGAATCAATTCAGCTGGTCTAAATAATTTGGGTCGGCCTTAATTTGATTAGGTTGGGCTCATGAAAAGTTTGTCGTCTGAACAGGGCCTAATCTATTGTTCCGTAATATAGCTCCCTAAACAAATAGCCTGAACTAGTTTTGAATTTGCTCCTATGTATGTTTTTACATGTATTAAAAGTCTCTTCCATTTCTTTAATTCCTAGCTGCTTACAAGGTTGACGAAATTTTGGGATATCCCCCCCCCCTCCCTTCCCCTCGTTAGTAACGACTCAGCGGGATAGCAACATTTTCTCTTTGCGGACGTCTGAACAATGAGAGCAGAGCTTTTTTAAAGTCTGGCATCCTGACTGCATATAAAATAGGATTTACAAGGGAGTTTGCATAACGCAAAAAATTCAGTGAAGAAAGCAAACGAATTCTTTGTGGGCCAGAAAGGGAATTTAAACTTATATAAGATGACCGGTCAACAAGAAGATATAATATACTGTATGGTAACCACAACAGTAAAGATACTAAAGTTGTTATAAATAATGTCACAGTTAGTTTTCTTTGTCTTAAAGCAGCTGCACAATGGCGCTGAGGGTGACCTCCAAAACGAAACTTAAACAGAATGGACGTGTAAGAAACAAAGGTAACAATTAAACACAAACAACAGTATGATGCCGACAAGTAAAGCGGGTGGCTTGTCATCAGAAAATATTCTATCCCCACAATGACTAATGTAATAATAGATAAAACCCAGACAACAGCAATTGCTACCAAAAAGACCCATCTCTTGATCAGCCGATGCCTAAATGGACAAAACGTAGCGTGAAATCGCTCTAAAGAAATCACAGTTATGTTTGTCAGGGAGACAAAAGGAAAGAGAGGGATAAGAACAAGAAATGCAATTCTAACTTCCCTAGATAAAGAATATTTTTTTACAAAGGGACAATAACGGTTTTGGCTATAAAAACTATCAACACTTCCGGAAAGACTTCCAACCAACAAGTCGGCCACAGTTAAGCTCATGACCAAGTACACGCTGCGAGTGCGAAGACTTTTGTTCTTTATGAAAAGAATGATGGAAAGGAGGTTCACCGTTACTATAGCAACAAACTCGGTGATGAATACGGTAAACAAGATGACGCACTCGGAAAAAGAAATAATCATCTTGTCATGAGTTATTTCACAGATGGTGTTATTGTTTCTTGAGTTTGTGTTGTCCGCAACAGTTACCTGTAAGAAGAATAACCTTTGATCAGTATTTTGATCAAAAGAAAGGTCAGCATCGTAACTTAAAAGAACGATCGTAAAATACGATATAGCTTGTTCCCCGGTTTTTTTTTGTTGTTTTTTAGTTTTGTTTTTTTTTGTTTTTTTGTTTTCAGTTTGCTTTGCACTGCTACCTGAATTCTGAACGCCTCGAACACAAAATGCGCACTTCGCTTCCAGATGGAAAAAAGGATGAACAATGCTATCTGATAGAAGAAGTGGATAATTTCTTTGTTTTCACTTGATTGTTTGTTTGTTTTTTTTGTGGGTTAAATTCTTGTCCACTCAATAAAAGGTGCTTAAGCCACAGAGGACCAAAACAATATGTTACTGTTAATTTGTTTGAGTTTAGAGGAAATGTATCGGAAAACCAAAAGATTTTATATTAACTTCGATGAATCAACAAATCTGTAAAAGTATTAGACCTGCAGTCGACCTGTAGCAGTCGCCGTTTACGGCGACAACCATACCACTAGAAAACCTTTCAGGCAATGATAAGTTTTTGTTGTTCTTTTATGTTCCTATATTCATTGCAATATTTAAAGATAACACAAGATTTTTTGATATTCTCTTTCATCGGTCTCAAAATTCAAACTTACAAGCGTTCAAAACTATCTTATCCGTGTTTTCTCTGCGTTAAAATGAAAGGGCATATGCAAATGCAAAACGTTCGCTGTTTAAGCAACAAACACTAGTCATAAGTTTAATATGGCTTCCAATTGTCTCTTAAATTAAAGAAAGAGAAAAATAAATGTAAGGAAATGTACCATTTTAAAACGAATCTCCAGTCCTTTTATTTTTATTTTTTTATTTTTTTTTCTACTTTCCAGTCTCGTTTTTAGCATTCTTTAAATAATTTGAATGGTTTCTGCACCAGTTATGAATAATTGACAGCTTAAACTGTTTGATGAGCAATTATTGTTTTCTTGATCAGAGCTACTGGATTAGAAAGCAGACTTTCTTTGGAGACTGAGTCACATTCTTGACTTTATCGATAGACAGAACTTAGATAACAAACATTGATGTCATGAAACTCAGCGCAAAGAAGTAAAGCACTGCGGGCTTACCTTTTTGTAAGTAAACTGGTCAACTGTTCAAAAGACGGTGTTTCGTTCGCTCTAAGTAGAAGAGATCGCTACTCACTACGTCGCAGAAGGCCAAATACTCGTATAGCAATCTAAAATAAAGTTTAATAAACCCTTGAGTCTTTTATAAAATGTTAACAGATCGCTTGTGTTCGAAAAAGCTCATATTTAACTAAATGAAAAAGCAAGTCAGTTGAAATGTTCTGTGGCGACTTTAAAATATAAGATCGTTTTTATTTTTCTTTGCCAAAACAATCTGATCGTGCCCATCTTGTACTACTTAACGTATTTATCAAGTATAAACACACCAATAAAGAAAATTAATGTAAATAACTACATGTCTGTGTAATTTTGAGCATCCTGTTTGTTATAAATTGTGGTCAAACATCTCATTTTTTTTTATTATTATTAATTATTATTTATTTTTTTATCTTTTTATAAAAGCCCATTTAAAGGAAATGTTTTTTGAGGTGGAGATCGTGACGATGTAGACGACGGCAATGATACGAACATTCTTGAGCTCTATTATTTTAATACAGCAAAGAGTTTGCTAACTGGATAATTAATTGGTCCACAGATACTGTTTCGCCGATTTTTTCTTGTTCATTGAACGTGGCTTGAATCCAATGTAATCTGTGACATTTAATGCACATGACGTCATTGAAAATTCCAACTAGAGAATTGTCAATCCCTCTGAATTTTTACTTTTATGAAATATTAGAGCAGCTAAAAACTAATATTGAGACAAATTTTCACGTCGAAATGTTTTTTTTTCCTTTTGTGATAGTCAGTACGCTTGAATTTCTACTCTTTTGCGTGACGTGGCATTTACACGGCGGCCTGTAGCGGTCATGTTGGTTAATAAAGTGTGGTATTTGACGGGTATTTTTCCGGTATGGTTTTCCTGCTTCCGCAATATCTATCCGGCAAAGTATTAACATAGCCTCATTTGTCTTCCTACATCTAGCCTGCGTTGCAGCCGGCCCAAGCACTCGTCTAAACCATTTAAGAACTTATGTGTGAGGCCGTTTTACACGAAAAGTTAACACATATTTACGAAAGTTAATGAAAGAGTAAGTTGAGTCATGCATGTTTTTTTGTTTTGTTTTGTTTTGAAGAAGCAGAGGTTCCAAAATGCAACTGTACGCTGCGGTGTTTGTTTGTAAATCGATCGTTATAAATTCCGTCGGTTGGCGGACGGAACTGGTAGCTATAGTAATGAAGGATTAAATTCATTGTTCACGAGATGCAGTGCCGGTTTCAAGATGCGTTGCTTTGTAGGCTTAGCCACAAGTGTGCCGATAAATTACCAAAAACTGCCGATATAAGTGTCTAAACGTTGCCGAAAAGTTGCAGTTTTTTTTTACTTGTTTGCACTTGAAGTCGGTTTTATTGCAGCTTAGATCATGCGCAGTATATCAAGTAGGTTTTATACGCATTTCCTTTTTTTAACAAAACTTCATTAATTAATAGAACTAATATTCAACAGTTGAATTAATCGGGCCTTCATCTGCACGTTCTTCCCAGTTGGAAAGTGTTGTCCGCCATCTTGAAAAACGGATCATGTGATACCGTTTACCTCATGGACAGGCGTGTAACACCAAGCTGGCATTGGTAATTGGGCCAGTCCTGGACTCCGCACACTCACTCAGTAGTATAAATAACACAGTTTAACTGAGCTGACGAGCAACTTGTGGCTAAGCATATTGCTTGGACTCTTTTATGACTAACAAGTCCTTCCAAAGATATCCCTTCCTAGATTTCTCTTCGTTAAAAAAAAGTGCAAATGCAAATACAAAAGATTTTCGGTTAAAAATACAAACGCATGTCAACGTTAATTTATGGCTTCTAATTGTCTGTAAAATTGACAAGGAGAAAATATATAGAAGAAAATGTATCATAAAACTCGCGTCCAGCCTTGCTTTTTCTGGTACTTTTTTCAGTTTTTAAATAATTCAAAATTATCTGCACCAATAATAAGTAAAAGACAACGAAAAAACATGTTTGATGGACAGATACATTTATTGTTTTCATGATTCGAGATAAAGGAGTATTAAATTTAGCAAAAAGACGGGTTTTATTACTGCTCTCCGGGCGTCATTTGGGGTCAAAAACAGAGCGATACGTGGGAAGGATCGCAATTTTTCTTTATTTGTTTATAGAAGAACAAGCTAAGCCTCAAGATCACGCGCAAAAGTAGCCTTTAAGTCTTGTCATGATTGCCATGAGCAGGGTTTTCTGACAAGTTTAGCCTTCATGGCAGACGTCATTTAAAGGAAATATGACCCTTTATTCCTTGTGTTATACGCCTTCTTCTACCCTTCCTCCCTCCCTTTATAGAACTAATTTACTGCTTCTGCCTTCCATTTGAAAAGCTGGATTAGCTAATAATTATTTCCTGTATAAGATCTATACTAGACATAATTGAGACCAAAATAAAAATCTAACAATTTATCCTCCTCAAAGGACAAAAACTTCTTTTGGGGACTCTCAGGTTCATTGACACTTTGTTTGAACTGAGTCATGAGCTTGTAGTATTAATACAAATAAATTCCTCAGAAATGAAGCACTGGCCTACCTTATCAGTGAACTGGTCACCTGTTTAGACGCCGTCTGTTTTTCGTTGTTAGTGGAGGAGACCGCTATCAACTACGGTTGCAGAAAAAGACAAAAACTTGGGGAGAAATCTAAAATAAAGTTTGATAAAGCCGTTAGTCCTTTTGAAAAGAAATTAAACTGGTCGCTTGTGTTATTAAACTGTTCACAAAAGTTCAAATTTAGCTGACAAAATTAAAAGCAAGCCGGTTTGCGTGTCTTCCGTGTTCACTTTAGAATATTAAGAATTTATATTTTCTCTTTACCTAAACAATGCGATGTTAAATCGTATGTAACTTGACGTAACATATTCTACTGGAATTATAATTATTTACCTTCTTTCAAAAGGACGCTGGCAGTTAAAAAAAAAAAACAGCAAAACGAAGACTGACCGGTGATATAAACGAGTGGAGCCAGACAAGGTCTAATGTATCCTGACTTGTTTGAGTTTCTTTGTCGATCACAAAGCACTTGCCACTCTTTAATATACTGCCTAAAAAAGATAAATATAGAAGCTTTACTTCTTGGTACGTATTATTTTATGTGTGAAGATGCTTTTTACTAGTTAAGGTTAGTAAGGGTGTATGTTAACCGTGCTTTTGGGTAGAAAAGAAATTCCTTGTTACTTTCGCGATTTTTGCGAAATTTGAGGCCTTTTTGAGGCCCTTCTTGGCCCGTTTTTTCTCTGAGTCTAGAAGTTTGTTAAATTTGTCATTATTGCTATTTTTGAGGTATTGGTTACTCGGTGTTTTGAGGTAGCAAGAAAAATCCTTGTTACTTTTGCGCCCTTAATTTTGGGGGATTTTCGAGGCCATTTTTGGCCTTTTTTCTTTCTAAGTCTAGAATTTTTTTTAAATTGTTTATTCTTGCAACTCTTGTGATATTTGCAAGTGATTGTCTCACAAAATTTTCTGGTGAATCATTTCTTTTGCGAAAATTGCGAAAAGAATTTGCTAGCCAATTTTTGTTCACAAGATCCTTCCTGGACATATCTGAAACTTCACTTGTTCTACTGGAAGTAAACTGTCTTACCTTCTTTAAAAAGGACGCTAGCAGTTTTTAAAAACCGCAAAATGAAGACTGGTAGGCGTTTTGAACGAGTGGAGCCAGACGGGGGCTAATATATTCTGACTTGTTTGTGTTTCTTTGTCGATCACAAAGCACTTGCCACCTAAAATGATTGGCATTCAGCTGTACTTATTGGTAAATAAAAATTAGACAGTACCTCATTAATATGCATTTTTAGTTATAGTTATTACCACTATCACTATCATTATTATTATTATTATTATTATTATTATTATTATTATTATTATTATTATTAGTAATGGTAACAGGACTGAGTGGAGTCTAATTCGGTCTCTAATCATACGAGTGATTAACAAAATTGGACGACCGCGTAGCGGGAGTCCGTTTTTGTTTAATCACGAGTATGATTACAGACCAAGAGAGGATAAACGGGACACAGAAGGCATCCCCCATACACACCCTATTCCATGGGTAATTCGTCTCGAGTTATTTTTCGAATTGGGATAAAGTTACCTCGCGCGCTGCGTGGATGTTTCGTGGACGTTTCGCATGACTAAACGCCGTGCAAAACATGTCGAGCGAAAGGCAATGAAAGCGTAAAGAGATCGAGAGCACTTCTGAATATTGAAGCGAAATGAGTCGGCGCTCACCTGGGAAAAGCGAATCGCTGGACTCTTTGACAACCCGTGAAATCAGTTTAACTCGAAGTTTTCGTAACCTCAGTGCTTTAATAAAATGAGAAATTTCGCCGCTCTATTGAAACCGGTCGTTTGTACAATAAAGCAAGTAGGACGCCAAGTGTTATTTTTGTTGAACAATAGAATACTAATAAAAGATCAAATATCAAACCAGAAGTTGCTCTCTTCAAACTGTAAATTATAAATGATCTTGAGAGAATATTCAGTGTGTTAAGAATTTGCCTGCTGTACTGTTAGCTCTATACAAGAGAGGAGGGGCGATTCTTTTTTAATTTCCATTTCACTGACACCGCTTTAGTAGAAATCTCTCCTTAAACGTTTTCGTCGACAAAACGAATAGCAATATCGCTCTCCGCGTCTTCCGCCATTTTTTTTCGTGAAGGACACGTGGCTCTGAGCGTGGGTCATCCACGCGGAACTCATTCGCGTTATGTGATTGGCTGTTGTCTAATCCCCCTTGGGATCTGTGGTCTTAAAAATAACTCGAGACGAAAAACCTATGGAATAGGGTGTGTATGGGGGATGCCTTCTCTGTCCCCTTTATCCTCTCTTGTTACAGACCAAATTGGACGACACGAAGTTCTGTTACCAATTAATCATAACTTTAACAAAATTTGTGATATAATAGGCTATTTTTTAGATCAAAACACAAGAAATTCTAAATTTTGTTTTGCTAGCAGTGAAAAAAAAAGCCATTTCAGCGCGCGCGTGATGGCGCGTACTGTCCAATAACTTAGGCATGCCGCCTACTGTCCTATTAAACTGTCAAATTAAGGCTGAAATCAGGGCAGTTGACAGCCAATCAGATTTGACAATTTGTTATAGTTATGATGATGATAATGATGACGATGATGATAATGATGACGGTGATGATGATGATTATTATTATTATTGTTCTCATTATTCTCATTATTATTATTTTGTTTAGGTGTAAAGGTGCATGTTAGTAGTAAAGGTTAGCAAGGGTGTATGTGAGTGACACGATGCCAGTTATGTTAAAATTTAACAACAAAATGGAGACCGTGTCGGTGTTATGAACGACTGGAACCAGACACGGGCCAATTTAGTCTGACGTTTTTGTCTTAATTGAGCAACAT